ATTGAACCTCGCTAGTGATTTTTTCACTTTAATTGTTGTACTTTTCAATTCTATATTTCTATTTTTAAGTATGTTCTGTCTCCTTATTCATATTTCTATTAGACAGAACATTGTTATCATATTTTTAATTTGAATATATTTATAATATATACTTTGAAAATTTTCTAAATCTGATATCTGAATTCAGACAGTTTCTATTCACTGCTTTTTTTTTTCCAGAGTATGAGCCATATTTTCCTGTTTCCTTACATGTCTAATAATTTTTAATTGAAAACTAAACACTTTAATTATACATTATAGCAAATCTGGATTTGGTTTTTATTTGTGATTGTTTTGTTTTTGTTATTGTTTTGGTAATTGGCCTATACTTGTACTGTGTAATCCTTCTGCCCAATGGTTTTCAGCAGTGATGTCTTTTATATTGTGTTGTTGTTATTATTATTATTGTTTTAGCCTGCTGTTCTAGGAATTTCCTTTGTGTCTGTTGCATAGCTTGATTTTGGAGAGACATTATGTTAAAGCTAGTAAGGCTTACACTCTCTGCCAAATAATCTGTGGGTGGGTGGGTGAATGCATTCAAAGTTGCAATTAATACTCAAGTCTCACTTCATTTTTACTTTTCGTCATACTCTCTTGAGTCTTTCCTACACTTCCATACTTTTCCAATCAGCCATATATGTGTGGAGAACTTATCTCAAACTGTCTATGACTCTCTCCTTTCCAGGATCTCTCATTTTTTTAAGTAATACTCAAGTTTTTAATTTATTATAGTGAAAGGATACAAAGCAAAATTAGCAAAGGGAAAAAGGCGTATGTGGTAAAGTCTGGAGGAAACCAGGCACAAGCTTCCCAGAATCACCTCCTGTGGAGTTACAAGGATGTATTTTTCTTTCCCAGCATGAAATTTTGACAGCACATGTGCAATGTCGTCTACCAGGACCAGAGTCTCATTAGAGACTAAGTACTCAGGATTTTATGGACGTTACTCTCCTTCACATGTACCAGAATTCCAGACTCCCAGAAGGAAAGCAGCTGTTCAGAGTAAACCACAGTGTTTGTATAAACAGTTTAGGCACAGTGAGCCACTCTTCTCAGTGAGAGAATTGGAACTTGCAATTGGGAAACTCCAGCCTTGCATGTGGGTCTTTCTTTTCTTTCTTTCCTCTCTCTCTCTTTCTCTCTCTCTCTCTCTCTCTTTCTTGAATTCCAGGATACATGTACAGAACGTGCAGGTTTGTTACATAGGTATACATGTGCCATGGTGGTTTGCTGCACCTATTGACCCTCAGGATCTCTCATTTAAATTTTTGTCTTGTCTTCCACTTCCCCAACTGAGACTGCAACCTCAGACTAGTAAAGCTGCAATTCTCTCTGTTCATTCCCAAACCACTCTACTATATTTAACTGGCAAAACCATTGATTTCTTCCCTCTACTCCATACCAAATCCACTCCTGCCCCCAGCCCTAACAGGAAAGCTGCTGGTTTTTACATCTAGCTTCATACTGGTAAAACTACAGTTTTTCCCAAATGAGCTTGGGGATGAAAAGAGGGATGGGAGTGTATTAGTCCGTTTTCATTCTGCTGATAAAGACATACCCAAGACTGGGAAGAAAAAGAGGTTTAATTGGACTTATAGTTCCAGATGACTGGGGAGGCCTCAGAATCATGGCAGGAGGTGAAAGGCACTTCTTATATGGTGGCGGCAAGAGGAAGATGCAAAAGCAGAAACCCCTGATAAAGCCATCAGATCTTGTGAGGCTTATTCACTACCATGAGAACAGTATGGGGGGAACCACCCCCATGATTCAATTATCTCCCACCAGGTCCCTCCCACAACACATGGGAATTATGGGAGTACAATTCAAGATGAGATTTGGGTGGGGACACAGAGCCAAACCACATTAGGGAGCATCCCCAGTCAGGAAGGGCTCAGACTTTTACCAATCCTACCAAAAACCCTAACACTTTAAGAATAAATGCTCTTAATTTGATAACTGTCTTTGATGAGTTTTCAGGGTACTAAAATGATTGTTTTTGATATTTTGTGCAATTTTAGGGGGGAGTTTTGGTGTGGAAATAAATTGCCAACCTTTTCATGTCACCTCACAGCCTTATCTTTATGTCTTCTGATTAACAATTTTCATTAGTAATATGTTACACAACCAATAGTTGTTTAGACTAACCTACATTTTACCGATTACTTTGCACATTGATCCTTCCTTTTTGGTTCTATGTTATATTTCTAAAGCATATCTTTCAGTAGATTTTTCCCCAGTAAAAAATGGCATATGTTCTTAAATGTATTTGTTTGACAATATCTTTCATTTGTCTTTTGTTTGAGTGACAGTTAACTGGCTACAGAATTCAACATTGAATGACTTCTTTATCTCTGTACTTTGAAGATTTTAATTATCTTCCATCTTCTATTGTTGCTATTAAGAATTGAGACTCTGCTTTATTGTTTATTTCATTATGATCAATCTCTTTCTCTGTCTAGATTCTTTAAGATTTTATTTTTGCCTTTGGTAGTCTGTAGTTTCTCAACATTTTATCTAAGTGTGTACTTTTACTTAACCCTGATTAGAACTCATTTGACTTTCTGTGTCCAAATCAATAAAAACCTTAATCGATTCTGTAAAATTTGAAGCCAGTTTTCTTCTCAAATATTATATCTTCTTCATTCTTTCAATTATGTTTCTGAAACTACTATTAGTTGTGTTTTAGATATTTTCCATCATCTAAATCTCTCATTTTCCACCTCATTTTTTTATGCTATGCTCTTAAGTAATTTCTTCATATCTACCACTTTGCTGTGTTCTCCTTCAGCCATGTCTAGACTGCTATTTGGGGTACTTAGTGGGGTTTTTTAGTTGAGTAACTTTTAAAGTTTTTTCTAGATGTTCTATTTAATTATTTTGTAATACTTTCAAGTAGTTTTTTCTTCTCATGTCTCCAATTTTTAAAAAATTGTCTCTAGTCCCTTTGAAAATACATATTGTATAGTGTCTATCTAGTGGTTCTATTAGCTGAGGTTTTTAGACATCTAATCCCATTCTTTGTTGTATCTGTTAACTTTTACTCATGGGATATTTCTTCTTATTTTATTTTAAGTTCAGATTCACTTGGTTTTACCTTTGAGACTTTATGCAGTCTGGGATCAGGAGTGTCTATTAGAGATTTTTTGAATTAGCATCTACCAAGTGTTCTAGGGATACTTCTATGCAGGGACACTGTTATGGTAGGTTTAGAACTTTGGGATCCCTAACCTGTGCATGTAATGTAAATTTGAGCCCTACACATAAGTTGGATGACGCCAGTGTTGCATATGAATTCTCAAAAAAGACTTTGCCACCCAGAGACCAGCTAAGACAAACTGCCTTGTCTTCTCAGTTTGTCAGTAGGATGACATTTTCTGGTCCATTCTTTTTTCTTCTTCTTCTTCTTTTTCTTGAGGTGGAGTTTTGCTCTTGTTGCCCAGGCTGGAGTGAAGTGGCGCCATCTCGGCTCACTACAATGTCCGCCTCCTGGGTTCAAGCGATTCTCCTGCCTCAGCCTCCCAAGTAGCTGGGATTACAGGCATGCGCCACCAGGCCAGGCTAATTTTTTGTATTTTTAGTAGAGACGGCATTTCACCATGTTGGTAAGGCTCATCTTGAACTCCTGACCTCAGGTGATCCACCTGCCTCTGCCTCCCAAAGTGCTGGGATTACAGGCACGAACCACCGCGCCCAGCCTCGTCCGTTCTTTTAGTAAGAGTTTAGCCCTCCAAGGCTTCCAGTTTTGCAGGATGACAATAATCAGAGGGGAGGGGGGAAAGAAACTTTGTTCTAACTTTCTGCCTGGAGTAAGTCAAAATCCTCCTCTTTTACCCTGGCAAATTCTATACAGCCAGAAAGGGGTCATAGCTAAAAAATGCCTGTAAGTTGTTTTTAAAACATTAAAAGCATTACCTACTATGATTCATGGCAAATGATTTAATTAGCATGTGGAAATTTACCATGTTATTGTCTGTCCTTTACAGAAACCTATGGATTCCTCTGTGAGTAGCACCTAGTTGCCAGAAACAAGATGTCTAGTAACTTATACCTACTCATCTTATCTACCTCTACTTCCTACACATAATCTAAGATACTTTATATTTATTCCCACAAAGTCTAGGTTCATTTCTTCTAGCCATTACCTTCTCTAATACATTTATGCCAAATATCAATTGAATTATCCTTTCAATACAAAGATTTAGTAGGTTTCTGTTAAAAGATTTGGCACCCTGACACTGTGATCTTCAATAACGTTGTGAATTCTTATCACAGACAATCATCCTCTTATTTTCCATCCTGATGAAAAAGCTATTTTAAAATGTAAAATTAAGTAAATCTCATCATATTGCCATGATGTTCTTAACTATCATATATTATAATGGTTAGCATTTTCAAGAGTTCACATATAGGTTTTTTTTTATTCTTTTATTGAGACTGAGTCTCGCTCTGTCAACCAGGCTGGAGTGCAGTGGCACAGTCTTGGCTCACTGCAACCTCTGCCTCCCAGGTTCAGGCGATTCTCCTGACTCAGCCTCCCATATAGCTGGGATTACAGGCACGCACCACCGCGTATGGCTAATTTTTGTATTTTTAGTAGAGATGGGGTTTCACTGTGTTGGCCAGGCTGGTCTCAAACTCCTGACGTCACGTGATCCAGCCTGCCTCAGCCTCCCAAAGTGCTGAGATTAAGGTGTGAACCACTGCACCTGGCCCAGATACAGGTTTTAAATATTTTTAAAGTAAAAACACTTTGTTTAAAACCTATCTCATAAATTGACAGGTTATTTGGAATATATGTTAAGCAGATATCTCTTTCACCAAACTAGGAAGCAACACTGATCTATACCATGTATCATTTTATAGAACTGGTTATTAGTATATATGATAAAAGAGAATTGATCCTTTGTTTGTATACATCTATGTGTATGTAGATATATAGCTCTACTTTTTTTGTATTTCAGGAGTTATACTCTTTGTGATATGGTGTACGACCTGGTCAGTCTTAGGCTCTGAAGCTCTCCCTGGTGGAAATTTATTTGGATTGTTAATTATTTTTTATAGTGCCATTATTGGGGGAAAGATTTTACAACTCATTAGAATACCTTTAGTGCCTCCACTTCCACCTCTTCTTGGTAAGTATATAATTAGCTCTCTTTTCTTTATTATCAACTATATGCAAATTTTGAATATTTTCTTGTTGAATTAGATATAATTCAGAAACATTTCAATGTAGTGAATTTTATATAGTTTCTTCATATATGTATTTACTGTATGTGTGTGTGTGTGTGTACAGCTCCTTTATAGATGTGTTTATTTTTCTCTGTCTACATATATATGCACACATTTTATCCAAAATTTATTTTTAAAATAAATTTAATATCCTCAGTATATTATTCCTGTTGCTTTATTGTTTAATAGAATCTTTAAAAATCATAGATTCACGGGGTACATGTGCAGGTTTGATACATGGATATATTGCATAATGGTGAGGTTTGGGCTCTAGTGAACCCATCACCAAATAGGGAATACTATACCCAATAGGTAATTTTTCAACCTTAACCCTCCAACCCTCTCTCCTTTTGGACTCCCCAGTGTCTATTATTTCCATCTTTATGTCCATATGTACCCATTGTTTAGCTCCCACATACAAGTGAGAACACGTGGTATTTGATTTTTCTGTTTTTGAGTTATTTCACTTAGGATAATGATGTTCAGCTCTATCCATGTTGCTGCAAAGGACATGATGTCATTCTTTTTTATGACTGCATAGTATTCCATGGTGTATATGTACCACATTTTCGTTATTTAGTCATTTAAGTTGATTCCATGTCTTTTTATTGTGAATAGTGCTACAATGAACATATGTGTGTATGTGTCTTTGCAGAAGAATGATTCACACATTGAACCATCCTTGTATTTCTGGAGTAAAACCCACTTAACTGCATTATCTTTTTGATGTACTATTGAATTCATTTTGCTAGTTGAGAATTTTTGCATCTACGTTCATCAGCAATATTGGCCAGTAGTGTGTGGGGTGTGTGTGTGTGTGTGTGTGTGTGTGTGTGGCTGGCTTTGCCTGATTTTGGTATAATTGTGATACTAGATTCATAGAATGTGTTAGGGAGGAATCCCTCCTTGATTTTTTGGAATAAGTCTCAGTCACCTGTGACCCTGAACTAGAATAAGTGGATTTTACAATGAATAAATGAATGAATACAAATTATTGTAAAACAAAATTTTGTTAAGTATATGATAACCATACAAATGCATGACAATAAACAATGTGATATGAAAGCTCTCAGCCAGCCTACCATATTTGTGATTGTTTTTGAACTGCATAGTGGGAGGAGGTGCTCCTTACAATTTTCACTTTGTAAGCATTTATTCTTTGATTTTAACCATCACCACTATAACCATCATCACTTGTGGATTCACCAAAAATTAGGTAAATAATTATCTTATTTGTTTTTATAAAACTCTAAGATGTATGTAGAGCTCACATTTCTTTCATTGTTTAATACTAGAAGTGTTTTGGATCTTTATTTAGAAGTTTGGTGATGTTTTGTGACCAAAAATATGCTATAGGAAATTGACTGTTGTTTATATCATTTAGCCTATGCTAAAATTGGTTTTGTTATATACCATTTTACTCAAAGTTGCCATTTCCAGTAACCTATAGATGATGTTAAGTGAGAACTTACTGTATTCAAATATATCTAAATATTCAGTACAGTGGGCCAGGCACGGTGACTCATGCCCATAATCCCAGCAATTTGGGAGGCCAAGGCAGGAGGATCGCCTGAGCCCAGGAGTTCAAAACCAGCCTGGGCAACATAGCAGACCTGGTCTTTATAATTATAAATATTAAAAATTTTTCTGGGTCTCAGCTACTCAGGAGGCTAAGGCAAGAGGATCCCTTGAGCTCAGGCGGTTAAGCCTACAGTGAGCCATGTTTGCATCACTGCACTCAGCTTGGACAACAGAATGAGACCCTGTCCCAAAAAAATAAATATATATTCAGTACATTGTCAGCAGAGATAATCTCTACATCTTACCTCTGCTGTCGCTTCTGTATCCACAATTTTCTTGCAGCACCTTCTAAGTATTTATTGAATCATTTTCCTCCTCTCCAAACTTTCTCTTTTGCTCTAGCTTAGGCTATTTGTTTCCAACTTTTGCACGGACTGTGGCAGAGCCTTCAAATTGGTCTCTGTCTCCAGTTTTATCCCTAACTAATTCACCAAGACCCTCACATAAAAAAACGCCAGACTCATTGTGTTACTTTCTGCCTAAAACCTTCCCGTGGTGCCTTACCTTTACCAAAGTTGGGGGAGACCTTTCTATGATCTGGCCCACCAAGCTCATTCTCCTCCCTCCTTTCCTTGCCGTGTATGTTCCAGCAACACTAAATTACTTGTTGAACCCCATTTAGATGTATTGTTTCTTATCGCCATGGCTTTATTCATGCTGCCTTCTCTACTTGCTTGTAACCTGCACTTTACCAAGATAATGAGAGACATAGTACATTAGAAAAGAAAGTAAACGTTTCTTTTTTCTTTCTCAGAAAAATGAACTGTCGTGTATCTTTATTTTCTTTCTTTTAAGGGATGTTACTGGCTGGTTTTACGATTAGGAATGTTCCATTCATCAGTAAACATGTCCATGTTCATAACACGTGGTCTTCAATTTTAAGAAGCACTGCCCTTACCGTTATTCTAATACGAGCCGGGCTTGGACTCGATCCACAGGTAGATTTACAATTACAAATTAAGTAAGGTTATTTCAAATATTAGAGGATGGTGAGAAACAAAAGAAGCAAAAATTTTATTTACCTGTTCCAAGTGGAGTCTGTAAACAAACTTAAGATAAGAAAAAAAGACCGGGCATGGTGACTCACGCCTGTAATCTACAAAAATCAGTCAGGCGTGGTGGCATGCACCTGTAATCCCAGCTACTAGAGAGGCTGAGGCAAGGGAATTGCTTGAACCTGAGCGACGGAGATTGCAGTGAGCCGAGATAGTGCCACTGCACTCCAGCCTGGGGGACACAGCGAGACTCTGTCTCAAAAAACAAAACAAAACAGACAAACAAACAAAGAAAAAAAAAAGAAGAAAAAAAGACTGTGTAGAAATATTGGCACCTTAATTTCTAATAAATAGCCATCATTATCACTGATACGAAGGGAACTGACTGTGTTGTAAAGTCTTTATTAGCAATCACCTGTAATCATTTGCACAGAGATAAATGTCTCTTATGTAGCACCTATATTATTTGGGAGGCTCTTCTATAGAGAACTATGTACTCTTCAGTTAACATAGGATAAGAAAAGCCTTATAAAAGTCTTTTTCTTTTTTTAGGGAGATTAAGGATTTCAGTAACTTTTTTATGATGTTTTCTCCACAGGATTATGTTCCTGATTATCTCTGCATTATTGTAAAATCTAACCTTTTAAAGCATTTCTTTAAATATTACAATCTAGGGATCATAAATCCCATCTTTAAGATGACTATTCATGAATATGACAGCTACTGAAATAAGTGTGGCAAATGTGGTTTAATAGAAATAGCTCAAGAGCATAAATAATTATAGCCAATGAGATTATATTCTCCAGTTGAAAGTATGAACCAAGGAGAAAATTGAAAAGTTCTCCCTTTTAAAATGAAGTATGCAGTTTTTAAGTTATTTTCTTTGGCATGTTGGCATTCTATTTATAATTATTAAGTTAATCAAACAGTTCATATCAAAAAATTAACTAATGGGAAAACACTAATAGGACACTATTTATACTATTTATTAGGAAAGTTCAGGAAGGTAGCAATAGCGATTTAATCACAGTAAAATTGATCTTTTAATAATTAAAATGCAATAATATTTTATAAAAGATGAAATTGTTTATAATCCAACCTATGATGACATATAAAATGTAATAGAGTTCCAAGTCCAGTGGGACAATCTGTTCAAATGAGATTTTGTTTAGTGAAAGCTTCTTATGAAAAAAGACTTTATAATTCAATATTTGTTTAAATAATTTTCTTGTTGGCCATTGTAAATGTACCTAAGTGTGACTGTTTTGTATTTCAGGCTTTGAGGCAATTGAAGGTGGTTTGTCTCAGATTGGCTGTAGGTCCATGCCTTGTGGAAGCTAGTGCAGCTGCTGTTTTTTCCCACTTCATTATGAAATTTCCCTGGCAATGGGCATTTCTATTAGGGTAATTTCTTTCTCATTTTTTCTTATGAAAATATTCAATTAAGGATGCTTGGTTAAAACTGTTAAAATATTCAGAATGTTGTATAGAAAAGCTCTATTAAAATTCTTTTCACAGTATTGGAAACCTTGGAAAACAGTTGATTAAAAGCAGAGCCATGTCCCAAATTGTATGAAATTTTTAACAAACATTCATAGCCCCTAAATGTTTATCATCAAGAAAATTCACATGATCAATTTATTCCTTTTCATCTGTATTATAACATATCTGTATGTTTTAATCTATCTAATGGCCTCTTCCTCATAGCTATATGTAAATACAGTTGCACATTTTATACATATGTATGTGTGTATATATAATTTGAGAAGCATTTTATATAGACATAGGTTTATAAATATAAACTCTCCCATTTTAAAGAAAGCAAGCAAACAAACAAAAACTCTTGCCATATGTCCAATGCCCCATCCATCCTTATCTACCATCCATTTGCCTTATGTTTGAATTCCTCAAAATAAGTCTGTAACTACTGTCTCTAGATCCTAACTCCTTCTCATTTCTTAAATCATCAACTTTTGTCTCTGCTTATCCATTCCGATGACATTCATAGCAAAATTCACCCATTATATAGTTACTACAAAATCCAGTGAATTTTTAATGTTTATGATAAAATACCCAAATGCACCTTTTGGCATCTTTGTCATAAAGTGTTTTCCAGAATTGAAATTTCCTAGGATATGTCCAGAACAGCCTGTGTCCAGAATGGTATTTCTTAGGATGTCTTCCAGAATTTTTATAGTTTTGGGTTTTATATTTAAGTTTTTAATCTATCTTGAGTTGATTTTAGTAAACAGTGAAACATATGGAGTCCAGTTTCAATTTTCTGCATATGGCTAGCCAGTTATCCCAGCACAATTTCCGAGTAGGGATTCCTTTCCCCATTGCTTGTTTTTGTCAAGTTTGTTGAAGAGTAGATGGCTATAGATGTGCAGCTTTATTTCTGCATTCTGTAACCTGTTCCACTGGTCTATGTCTGTTTTTGTTCCAGTACCATGCTGTTTTGGTTACTGTAGCATTGTACTGCAGTTGGAAGTCAGGTAGTGTGATACTTTCGGCTTTGTTCTTTTTGCTTAGGATTTCTTTGGCTATTTGGGCCTTTTTTTTTTTTTTTTTTTTTTGGGCTCCAAATGAATTTTAGAATGCTTTTTTTAATCCTGTGAAAAATGTCATTGGTAGTACAATAGGAATAGCATTTACTCTGTAAATAGCCTTGGGCAGTATGGCCATTTTAACAGTATTGCTTCTTCCTATCTGCGATCATGGAATGTTTTCCTTTTGTTTGTGTTGTCTCTGATTTCTTTGAGCACTCGTTTGTAATTTTCATTGTAGAGATATTTCACCTCACTGCTTAGCAGTATTCCAAGGTATTTTGTGGTTTTTTGTGGCTGTTGTGAATGGGATTGCATTCTTGATTTGGCTCTCAGCATGGATGTTGTTGGTGTGTAGAAATGCTACAGATTTTTGTACATTGATTTTTGTATCCTGAAACTTTGCTGAAGTTGTTTGTCAGATCTGGGAGCTCTTGAGGGGCTACTAAGGGGTTTTCTCGGTATAAAAGTGTTTCACCTATGAAGAGGCATAGTTTGATTTCCATTCTTCCTACTTAGATGTCTGTGTTTCTTTCTCTTGCCTGATTGCACTGGCCAGGACATCCAGCACTATGTTGAATAGGAGTAGTGAGAGTGGGCATCCTAGTCTTGTTCCGGTTCTCAAATGGAATATTCCAGCTTTTTCCCATTCAGTATGAAGTTGTCTCTGGGTTTGTCATAAATGACTCCAATTATTTTGAGGTATGCTCCTTCAGTAACTCATTTGTTGAGGGTTTATATTATGAAGAGATGTTTTTATTTTTAATTATATTATATGATGAATAACATTTATTGATTTGTATATGTTGAACCAAACTTGCATCCCAGGGATAAAGCTTACTTGATCATAGTGGACTAGCTTTTTGATGTGCTGCTGGATTCAGTTGGCTTGTATTTTGTTGAGGATTTTTGTATCTATGATCATCAGTGATATTGGCCTGAAGTTTTCTTTTTTGTTGTGTCTCTGCCAGGTTTTCATATCTGAATGATACTGGCCTCATAAAATGAGTTAGGGAGGGATCCCTCCTCCTCATGTTTTTTGGAATAATTTCAGTAGCATTAGTACCAGTTCTTCTTTACACTTCTGGTAGAATTTGTCTGTGAATCTGTCGGGTCCTGGGCATTTTTTTTTTTTGCTCAGAGATTTTTTATTACTCATTCAGTTTCAGAACTCATTTTTGGTTTGTTTAGGATTTCAATTTCTTCCTAGTTCAATCTTGGGAGGTTGTATGTTTCCAGAAATTTACCCATTTCTTGTAGGTGTTCTACTTTGTTTGCATAAAGATGTTCGTCATAGTCTCTGAGAGTTTTTTGTATTTCTGTGTGGTTGGCAGTAATGTCCACTTTGCCATTTCTGATTATGTTTTTTGGATCTTCTCTTTTTTTTTTTTTTTTTCCTTTATTGGTCTAGCTAGTGACCTATCAAATTTATTTATTCTTTCAAAGAAACAACTTTTAGTTTCATTTATCTTTTGTATGGATTTTCATGACTCAATTTCATTCCATTGTGCTCTGATTTTGGTTATTTCTTTTCTTCTGCTAGCTTTGGGTTGGTTTCCTCTTGTTTTCCTATTTCCTTTATGTATGATAGTAGGTTGTTAATTTAAGATCCTTCTAACTTTTCAATGTGGGCATTTAGCACTATAAACTTTTCCCTTAACACTACTTCACCTGTGTCTTAGAGAGCCTAATATGTTGTATCTTTGTTTTTATTAGTTTCAAAGAATTTATTGGTTTCTGCCTTAATTTCATTGTTTACCCAAAAGTCATTCAGGCACAGATTGTTTAATTTCTATGTAATTGTATGGTTTTGAGAGTTCTTAGTGTTGACTTCTATTTTTATTGCACTGTGCAGTCCAAAAGTGTGGCTGGTATGATTTCAGGGTTTTTAAAATTTATTGAAAATGATTTTACAAACTGATAGTGTGATCAATTTTACAATATATGCCATGTACAGATGAGAGGAATATATATTCTGTTGTTGTTAGGTGGAGTGTTCTGTAGATAGCTGTTAGGTCCATTTAGGGTGGAGTGTTCTGTAGATGCCTGTTAGGTCCATTTAGCCAAGTGATGACTTCAGGTCTGGAATATCTTTGTTCATTTTCTGTCTCTATGATCTATCTAGTACCATCAGTGAGATGTTGAAGTCTCCCACTATTATTCTGTGGCTATCTAAGTCTCTCTATAGGTCTCTATGAACTTGTTTTATGAATGTGAATGCTCCAGTTTTGGGCACATTTATCTTTCAGACAGTTAAGTCTTCTTGTTGAATTGAACCCTTTATCATTACGTAGCGCCGTTCTTTGTCGTTTTGATTGTTGTTGGTTTAAAGTCTATTTTGTCTGAATTAGAATAACAATGCTTACCCTTTTTTGTTTTGCATTTGCTTGGTAGATTTTTTTCCATCCTTTTACTTTGAGCCAATGGGTATTATTGCATATGAGATGGGTCTCTTGACAACAGAATATGGTTGGGCTTTGCTTCTTTATCCAACTTGCCATTCTGTGAGTTTTAGTGGGGCATTTAGGCTGTTTACATTTGGTTAATATTGATATTTATAGCTTTGGTTCTGTCATTATGTTGTTAGCTGGTTATTATGCAGACTTGATTGTGTAATTACTTTACAGCATCAATAGTCTATGTACTTAAATGTATTTTTGTGGTGGCCATTAACAGTCTTTCACTTCTATGCTTAGCACTTCCTTAAGGACCTCTTGTAAGGCATGTCTGGTAATAAAAGATTCCCTTAGCATTTGTTTGTCTGAAAAGGATTTTACTTCTCCTTCGCATATGAAGTTTAGTTTGACTGGATATTAAGTTCTTGGTTGAATTTCTTTTTTTTTTTTTTATTCAAGACAGAGTCTTGCTCTGTCACCAGGCTGGAGTGCAGTGGCGCTATCTCAGCTCACTGCAACCTCCACCTCGCGGGTTAAGTGATTCTCCTGCCTCAGCCTCCTAAGTAGCTGAAACTACAGACATGCACCACCATGCCCAGCTAATTTTTGTATTTTTAGTAGAGATGGGGTTTCACCATGTTGGCCAGGATGGTCTCAATCTCTTGACCTTGTGATCTGCTCCTCTGGGTCTCCCAAAGTGCTGGGATTACAGGCATGAGCCACCACACCCAGCCAAGTTTTTTTTTTTTTTAAGAATGCTGAAGGCTGGGCACAGTGGCCCATGCCTGTAATCCCAGCACTTTGAGAGGCCAAGGTGGGTGGATCACAGGGTCGGGAATTCAAGACCACCCTGGTCAGTATGGTGAAACCCCGTCTCTACTAAAATTACAAAAAATTGCCGGGTGTTGTGGTGTGTGCCTGTAGTCTCAGCTACTCAGGAGACTGAGGCAGAAGAATCACTTGAATCCAGGAGGTGGAGGTTGCAGTGAGCCGAGATCACACCAGTGCACTCCAGCCTGGGCAAGAGAGTGAGACTCCATCTCAAAAAAAAAAAAAATGCTGACTATAGGCCCTCAGTTTCTTTTGGATTATAGAGTTTCTTACAGTTCCACTGTTAGCCTGATGGGGTTCCCTTTGTAGGTGACCTGCCCCTTTTCTTTAGCTGCCTTTCATATTTTTTTCTTTGATGTTGACCTTGGAGAACATCTGCCATTTCAGGGCTTGGAGCACTTTTAGAAGCTCACGTACCTTTTGAGGCAATCTTACACACATTTTGGTTTATGGTTTCCTTTTTTCAATCCTAAATTATCTGTCTCTTATCTTCCTGGGATATACTTAGTTTCTTGTCCATTGAGGATTCACCTTTTGTTTTCTAGTTAGGTTATGAATTTTTTTATTACTTTTACATCTTCACTTCAAGGGATTTAGGAATAGAGGGAGAGGCTGCAACCTGTGCTCAGCCCAACATTTTAAACCACGTCTGTATAAAATTTTAGCCAGCACTAAACAATGCATGAAAAGTTTTATCACCATTAAGTTGCATTCACTCAAATTTGAAATTCTTCTAAACAATGTTTATTATAAAGTTATTATAAACTACTTGTACTTATAAAACACCACTTGATTAAAAAGATGCTTTAAAATTAATTTTCAATCTTTCTTTCAGTTTTGTTCTAGGTGCTGTCTCTCCTGCTGTTGTTGTCCCTTCCATGATGGTGTTGCAAGAAAATGGATATGGTGTTGAGGAAGGCATTCCAACCTTACTAATGGCTGCTAGCAGTATGGATGATGTTCTGGCTATCACTGGATTCAATACATGCTTGAGCATAGTCTTCTCCTCGGGTAAACAAGAAAATATAACAACCACCGGATCATTCATGCCTTTTTTTGTTAGTTCCTTAAACAGGGTTTCTGGCTTTGCTTCTTCATTTGTTAAGCACAACTTTTCAATTTAACATCTTTTTAATCTCCATAGAAAGCTCTTTCTAGACCAAGGAAGATATTTCAGTGGCTTAAGATACCACTACTTAACACACATGATCTCATTTTAATAACCATGTTACAATTAATTTGATAAGCCATATTATTACTATTTATCTGCTTATGTTGCTTTGGAATTTTATCAGTTCTCATTAGAAAAAAATTAAGCAGCAGTATTATTTCTGCTACTAATATTTTAATAGGCATTTTTGAAATGTGCCTTTTTGGCCATCCTAATAAACAACTGGTTGCTCTGTTATAAGACAACATAAACATATAGAGCTGGGACAGCCATATGCCTTTTTGTAGTGTCAGGACAAGATCCTGCACCAGTTCTGACTCCCAAGGTGATATCTGATCTTGAATATCACTACAGAAATTGTGGCAGTAAATATTTCTTCATTTAGTAATGCTTTAATTATCTACAATGTTTGAAATTGAGTCTTCTGTATTATTGAAGCACTAAAATATTTTTAAGTTGAAAAGTAATATACATAGTTTCTCTTAAAATCAGAAAATATAAATAAATAAGAAAAAGGGGAAAAGTTAAAAGTAAAATCTGCAATAGTCACATCCAGAAGAAAAGAATCATTTCCTTCTGAACCTTTTGATATAAATCCACCCATATTTTCTTTCCTCCCCTCCCCACCCCTCCCCTCCCTTCCCTCCCCTCCCTCCCCTCCCCTCCCCTTCTCTTCCCTTCCCTTCCCTCCTTCCCTTCCCTTCCCTCTTCCCTTTCCTTCCCTCCCCTTCTCTTTCCTTCCCTTCCCTTCCCCCTCTCTCTGTCAAATATTCTTATAAAAATCAGTGAATATTGACCAATATGTTCTTATAACCTGAACTGTTTTACACTTAACTGTATATCACAAACACGTTTCTTTTCAGTAAATATATTTGTATATCATTTTTAATAGTTGTTTAGCTTAATGAAAGAGTATTCAATGTGCTGCATCATAATTATCCTGTTCAAAATTGAAGGTGACTCCAGTATTTACTATTAAAATAATACTTAGTCGTGCTGCTATAAAAATATTTTTAAAAATTAAAAAAATTGACCAGGCACAGTGGCCCATACCTGTAATCCCAGCACTTTGGGAGGCCAAGAAGGATGGATCACTTGAGGTCAGGAGTTCAAGACCAGCCTGGCCAACCAACATGGTGAAACTCCATCTCTACTAAAAATACAAAAATTAGCCGGGCGTGGTATTGGGTGTCTGTAATCCCAGCTACTCAGGAGGCTGAAGCAGGAGAACCACTTGAACCCAGAAGGCGGAGGCTGTAGTGAGCTCAGATCATACTATTGCACTCCAGCTAGGGCAACAGAGTGAGACTGTTTCCAAAACAAAAACAAAAATTAATTTTAAAAATAATACTTAGTTGAACATGTAGAGAAATATTTGTACCTAATCTTCATATTTTCTTAAACTTAAAAGTGTAATTGTTGATCTAAAAGGTATATACATTTATGAGTGTTCCAAACATATTGCCACAATATCGAGTCCTACCAGGATACATAAACTTGTCATTTCCTCTCACTTCTCTTCAAAACTAGGTATTACTAGCCTTTTTCATCTTTGCTGATTTGATAGGTGAAGGGAGGGATCTCTATACATGAAGTACTTTGAGTACTAGTAATGTTAAATATCCATGTTTATTTGTCATTGGCATTTTGTAAATTGCTTTTCTTGAAAGTTTTTTGCCTATTTCTTTTAGGTAGTTTCATCTTTTGTTCCTTTTGATTTGTCAAGATTCTGTGTTAAATTGAGACTGGAAACCTTTGTTTTATATACTTTAGTTTTTTCAATTTGTAATTTGCCTTTTAATTTTCTCTCTCTTTTTACCATTCAGATGTTCAAGTTTTTTATTGTCAATTGTGAAAATCTTTTCCTTCATGATTGGTATCTGTCATTCTTTCAAAAAATATTGTTATCAGTCCTCTTTCAAAAAAATATTTCCAAGCTGGGCCCAGAGGCTCACGCCTATAATCCCAACACTTTGGGAGGCCAAGGCAGGTGGATCACTTGAGGACAGGAGTTCAAGACCAGCCTGGCCAACATAGCAAAGCCCCATCTCTACTAAAAATACAAAAAGTTAGCTGCGTGTCATGGCACAGGTCTGTAATCCCAGCTACTCAGGAGGCTGAGGCACAAGAATCGCTTAAACCCAGGAGGCAGAGGTTGCAGTGAGCCAAGATCACGCCGTTGCGCTCCAGGCTGAGTAACAGAGGGAGACTGTCTGAAAAAAAGAAAAAAAAAAAATTCCCCTTCCTTTTGCCGGCTACTATGCCAAACACTGAGGATAAATAGTAAGCAACAGCATTTGCTTTTATTGAATACTTGCTTGGCTCTTGTTCTAAGTTCCATATATGTCACCACTCATTTACAGGTAAGGAAACTGAGAAAGATGTTAAGTAATTTACTCAAGGTCAGAGATCAAATAAGTAGAGGAGCCAAGATGAAATCTGGCAGTCTGACTCCACACCCACACATTTAACTCTACTCTTCTCCACTGCCTCCCAACACAACAGGGAGACAAGATCAAGTGGTGCAGGTTCTCAAGGAGCTTATATATTAAAGAAAAATTACAAATGGGATGAATATTACATTGTGAAGGTTAATATTAAGTAAGTGTCAACTTGATTGGATTGAGGGATCCAAAGTGTTGATCCTGGATGTGTCTGTGAGGGTGTTGCCAAAGGAGATTAATGTTTATTTAGTAGACTGGGAGAGGCAGATTCACCCTCAATGTTGGGGGGTACCATACAATCTGCTGCCGGCATGGCTAGAATAAAGCAGGCAGAAGAAGGTTAGGAGAAACTGACTTGCTGAGTCTTCTGGCCCTCATCTTTCTCCCATGCTGGATGCTTCTTGCCCTCGAATATCAGACTCCAAGTTCTTCGGCTTTTGGACTTACTCCAGTTGTTTTCCAGGGGCTCTCAGGCCTTCATCCAGAGACTCAAGGCTTGGACTGTCGGTTTCCCTACTTTTGAGGTTTGGGACTCGGACTGAGGCAATACTGGATTCCTTGCTCCTCAATTTGCAGACGGCCTGTTGTGGGACTTCACTTTGTGATGGTGTGATTCAATTCTCCTTAATAAACTCCCTTTCATACATATATATATCCTGTTAGTTGTATCCCTCTAGAGAACCATTACTAATACAGATTTTGATACCGAGGTAATGGGGTATTGCTATGAGATACCTGAGAATGTGGAAGTGACTTTGGAACTGTGTAATGGGCAGAGGTTGGAACAGTTTGGAGGACTCAGAAGAAGACAAGAAGATGTGGGGAAGTTTGGAACTTCCTAGAGACTTGTTGAATGACTTTGACCAAACTGCTGATAGTGACAAGGACAGTGAAGTCCACGCTGAGGAGGTCTGAGATGGAGTTGAAGAACTTGTTGGGAACTGAAGTAAAGGTCACTCTTGCTGTGCTTTAGCAAAGAGACTGGTGGCATTTTGTCTCTGCCCTAGAGATTTATGGAACTTTGAAATTGACAGAGATGATTGAGGACATCTGGTAGAATCAATTTCGTTTTTGTTTTTTTTTTTTTTTGTTAAGTTCTAGGATACATGTGCACAACGTGCAGGTTTGTTACATATGTATACATGTGCCATGTTGGTTTGCTGCACTCATTAACTTGTCATTTACATTAGGTATTTGTCTTAATGCTATCCCTTCCCACTCCCCCCTACCCCATGACAGGCCCCAGTGTGTGATGCTCCCTACCCTGTGTCCAAGTGATCTCATTGTTCAGTTCCCACCTGTGAGTGAGAACATGCGGTGTTTTCTGTCCTTGTGATAGTTTGCTGAGAATGATGGTTTCCAGCTTCATCTGTGTCCCTGCAAAGGACATGAACTCATCCTTTTTTATGACTGCATACTATTCCATGGTGTATATATGCTACAATTTCTTAATCCAGTGCATTATTGATGGACATTTGGGTTGGTTCCAAGTCTTTGCTATTGTGAATAGTGCCGCAATAAACATACGTGTACATGTGCCTTTATAGTAACATGATTTATAATCTTTTGGGTGTATACCCAATAATGGGATTGCTGGGTCAAATGGTATTTCTAGTTCTAGATCCTTGAGGAATCGCCACAATGTGTTCCACAATGGTTCAACTAATTTACACTCCCACCAACAGTGTAAAAGTGTTCCTATTTCTCCACATCCTCTCCAGCACCTGTTGTTTCCTGACTTTAATTATTGTCATTCTAACTGGCATGAGATGGTATCTCTTTGTGGTTTTGATTTGCATTTCTCTGATGACCACTGATGATGAGCATTTTTTCATGTGTCTGTTGGCTGCATAGATGTCTTCTTTTGAGAAGTGTCTGTTTATATCCTTTGCCCACTTTTTGATGGGGTTGTTTGTTTTCTCTTGTAAATTTGTTTGAATTCTTTCTTTGTCAGATGGGTAGATTGCAAAAATTTTCTCCAATTCTGTAAGTTGCCTGTTCACGCTGATGGTAGTTTCTTTTGCCATGCAGAAGCTCTGTAGTTTAATTAGATCCCATTTGTCTATTTTGGCTTTTGTTGCCATTGCTTTTGGTGTTTTAGTCATGAAATTCTTACCCATGCCTATGTCCTGAACGGTATTGCCTATGTTTTCTTCTAGGGTTTTTATGGTTTTAGGTCTAAAATTTAAATCTTTAATCCATCTTGGATTAATTTTTGTGTAAGGTGTAAGGAAGGGATCCAGTTTCAGCTTTCTACATAAGGCTAGCCAGTTTTCTCAGCATCGTTTAATAAACAGGCAATGCTTTCCCCATTTCTTGTTTTTGTCAGGTTAGTCAAAGATCAGATGGTTGTAGATGTGTGGTCTTATTTCTGAGACCTCTGTTCTTTTCCATTG